CCATTCTTTATTCTTTGCTTAGAATCTCCGATCGTTACTTCTGATTGCGAGTTAAGGGTACTTTGCTACCGTCCCAGCAAAATTGCAAATCCTTTGTCATTCTTTTTTCTATCTCGAGCTTAATCATGATCTCTTCAAGAATGCCGATTCATTGAAGGTGTATATCGTCTCTCGAAAGCGAATGTCCCATACTGCATAGGAGAAAGAAAAGGGCCAATAATGCGGATGTGATCACCCAGGTGAGTGTGGTTATGTTCACTTTGTACTAATATAGGTCTACATGGCCTATAGGACTCCTATGCGAACTGGTGTCTGAGTAATTCAAATTCCATGAAAGTAGAATTCCCTTCAACGGGCTCAGCAGAGTAGTGGGTAGGAGCATTCACAGGAAGGGGGTATATAATACGTCAATACAGAAGAAAGCATCAATCAATAGAGCTGAAGGGAATTCGCCAAACGTGTCAGACCCTACTGGAGAATACTCTCCAGGGAGCTAACATGATGAAAAACTATCCATGTGCCTTTTCTTATTGTCGGTAACTTACACTTCTCGACCGCTATTCGTCCCGGGCACGCCAGAAAGCGCAGGTCGCACATCTTCCAGGTCGCTCTGCTTCGGGCTCTTCTGCGCCACAGTTGGCCGTACATCTTTACGAAAGGTTGAAAGGACCCATCGGGTAGCCTGCAGCGAGCACGAAATGGTCGGAGTAGAGGAATCTGGACGTCGCCGTAATTTCTACAATTGGATGACGTGTTTCATACCGTACCGTTCCCATATTCTCCTGGAGAATTTCAGGTGTGGCCAATGCAAAACCAGATCACTAGTGTGTTGAATCCGATGGAGCCAATTATCAATGCACTGAATATGCAGAGCATACGTATGGCCACCCTGTACTCGGAGTTCATTCAAAGGATTCAGGTATAATTCTCAGGGTTCTCAACAATTATGTGGGACCAATGATGCTACTCGTAGCATATTGTCAAGTATTGTATAAAAGACTAAGCATGCGACAGAAGCATTTTTTCAAAATCAGAATCAAAATGACTTTTCTTCGAATTTTGCAAATTCTTCAAGGCAAGATTCGGGATAAAATAGGTGTGGAAAAGCGTTCAGTTATGAAGCTAGAGGTGGGAGGTGGTCTGTAAAAGAGAAGGAAAGCAAACGAAACCACCGATTACGCCCCGCACAGAGACCTCCCTATTTCAGCCGCATTCCACCTTGGGATAGAGAAGGGGCGCGTTGGACGAGTTTCACGAACCTAACTCTAGTTGCTCCAGTGCCAATGACATTAGATCGCAAGGGACCGCGCTTCAAGCAGCGCCACGTGGCAACCGACAGCGGAGGGGGCTTGCGGACGAAGGTGTGAGTTGCGGGTCGGGAGCTCCTTGCGCCTTTGTCGCGCACTTTCAAGCGGCAAAAGGGGCGCGACATCAACGCTTGTCCGCCTGTCTACTACCATCAGGGATGCAGGCAAGCAGAAGCGGCGCTAACTGATGCTGCATTCAACAGTGATGTGCATTTTTTTTGAAAGAAGAAAACGTACATAGAATATTACTATCATCTTGTATACGTGTAAAGCATGCAATTGCCAGTTTTATTCGGGGCTCATGAGACACAAGTTCCAAAATTCCTAGTAAGTGTGTAAAGCATAGGATTTTTTTTACCTAATTTTCAGAAGTGTTTCTCCAGCCTTATAAAGCCGGCCATCAGAAGACATGTCGGAGGTCTTGCGTTCCATAGGTGCGACCACAGCGTTGGGTATGGGATCTTTATGGAAGAATGTGATGAAATAGGGAGGGAGTCTGTGCTTTCTATAAGGATTCTAAGAAGGTATGGCTCATTTTGCTCCATTGGCAGCTGTCTCTCACTATTTTGGTTGGTGTTTGTTATTTTGTTTTTGCCGTCGCTTTTATTGAGAAGTATCAAAGACCTGAAAATGTGTACACCATCGCCGTGCGATGGAACGAAGGCCGCGAGCGTCCCTCGAAAAAGCGGGCTCCCGGAACCACCCCAGACATGCAGATGGCCTTCACCTAATTACTTCCCTTGATTTTGTATATTAACCTTCATTTCTCCGCTGCGAGACGGTCATCTTACCAAGCGTTTGTTCTTAGCTGGGCACTTATGATTGGTGTACATCCTTGCTCCTTCCACAAATTCCGTAAATGATATTGGGGAAAGGTAGCATGAACATGAATCTGACCAGGTCTGACCACCAGGTTTTCATGCTGCAAGGATCACTTTTCAGTTCTATGTATGAATGGAAGTTCTATGAATTACAGATAAAGAATTGGTGACCCTATGGAACTCCACGGTCAACGAATGGACATCGGGCCAAATGGAATCACCAGGTGAAAGTGAAGGCATACCGTACGCCGACGCAAAGCAACTGGTTGTGACAACTGACCGACTGCAGTCTCTTACACGACAGGTGCAGTGCTTTTATCCCTGTATCTCTTAATTCGCCCAAGTAGCCCAAGGAAAGTGCTCTATCAATTAGGTGCTGTGATATTTTCAGAATGGCGCCAGTGATCCTTTCAGTCTTCTTCATGAGTACATTGGTCAAATTCTAACTACCAACGATAGCCAAGATGAGGTGAGTATCGCGCTGTGAGGTTGATACTTCTTCCCAAACATTACCTCGTCCCAGGATTGCATAAAAGCTGCTGTCTTCGTCGATCCGCTTGTGATCTACGAGGATTCAAGTGTCAACATCGACGTCTATATAGAGAATTTACAGGTAGGAAGTGGTTCCATTAGTGTTTCTTCCTATTGGGAGCTGCTGGAGCTAAATCGGACTTTTGCGTCCAGTGGAGCTAATTCGGACTTTTGCGTTGTACAACCTAAACCTTTACCGTGTCAAAAAATTGACTTTAAATTGTAATTAGTTTTGCACAAAAGAAAATCAACCCAGCACAGTGGAATTGTGTACACCTCAGTTTGTTTTCGAATTCATTTAGAATGAGACAAACTTTGGGTTTCCGTTCCAGATTATAAATAACAATGAAATTCCCTGCCGAGATTTCAAATTTAGGATAAAGTGTATTATTTATCTGTGAAGGCGAGTTATGAAAAATTGACATTTAGGATTCAACTCTAACTAATATCGATCTATCAATCGAATTCGTAAGGAACGACATGTTCGCGCCGGCGATTGACTTTGGCGTTGGTCCGTCATGGTCGGCTGGCATCAACAGTATGAACGGATTTGTATGTCTTGTGATAAGTTGAATTTTATTTTAATGTGTCATGTGGGGGGAGGGATTGTCAAAGGAATACATAGTTCGATCACGCGGGCCCTTTACCCAATAATTTCGTGCTTTGACCAGCCAATTATCTAATACCTATCTCCGAACCGTTTTTGGAGTGAAAGTGGTCCAGGGTGCTACACGATTCTGAAACGTAGATTGAGTGTGGTGCATTCAAAAGGATTTGATGGACCTTAGTCACACATGTAATCGTTCATTTTGGCAAAATCATACAAGATTCCGAAAGGAGGTCGAGTGCGTGGCGCATTCGAAGAAGGCTCAAGACGCACACGTTGACATCTACTGTTGTGTTCAGGGTGTACTTGCTCCACGGTCTTCGTTCGAGGTGCACTGGACACGTAAGATTATCACCGACAACCGTCTTACGTCCACTGCTTCTATAACAGGTCATTTTCTTCTTCGTCCTATCTTAGCAACTGCTTTCTTGTACACCAAATTACTTTCACTGAGTTGATTGCGTTGTTAAGGCGGTAAATCGTCCTCGGATTAAAAGATGCATGCGTCAAGCCAGCGCCTCAATCTACACTGACTGAAAAATTCGACGATGCGACGTCTTAGGGGTTATGGTTTATAAATACAGAATTTAGACCATCCACTAGAAATGTTTCAGAATATAGAATTTGTTGTAGATATAAGAGGGCTAATACGGGTCTAGGTAACCCAAAGGTAGCGCTCTTGGCATCATTCAAGTACTATATCATTTATATTCGAAAATCGCTAATGCTTTCAGCTTCTACACTTTGTCAACGGTGACGTTACTGCTTCGTCTAGAGAGCCATTCTCTGCCATGACCGCTGTGATGAACATTGGGTCTGTTGAACCTACACTTGTATAACCACATTCTTGTTTCGACATAGAAAATGAGAAGAAAAGTGGAGAAGTAATAGTGAGGAGTGAGTGAGAATTGAGTGAAAGTGAGTGAAGTAAAAGCATTGTGGGTTGTAGAAGGACCTTGTGAAGTGAATCATCATTTTATATAGACAGAAAACAGGTTAAAGGAAGGATTCACGATTAGAATGAAGGTCGAAGAAGGAGTAATTCACCTAGTTGAGAGACCGGCGGACCTCCTGAGGGTGCGGACTGACGCGCAATTGGCAGCGAAAGATTTGACCTCGGCGATCTAGCATGGCTCACTCTTGGCGCGGTTGGCGGGGTACGCCCACCGACTATCTAATCACTCGCCGCAGGTCTATACGTGGCGAGTGATTAGATAGCAGAGAGAGCGTAGTGTTGAAGAGGGCACAGCGATGAGAGTCGCATCAATGCGCAAATCAACGGGCAAGGAAGGGGTCCCATTTCTCGGGTTCTGGGCCTCATGGTTCTTCCTTCTTTCGTGTACCACTCACCATCCCTAGGTTAATTTGAAATGGGTTGCCTTTCCATCGTGAATTCGTCCTTTAATTCGTAATTATCGTAGCATCGGTACCAAGATTATTTTCAAGTTAAAAAAGTTTAGTTATCATATTTTTCTCTGTTTTGAAGTGTTATCTCTCTAAGATTTCCCTGCCTTCCGAATAGATATGCTCCTATGCTGACCCGATAAAAATGCTTCCGGCCTGCCAGCAAAATGTCGGCTCCTCTCTTGACTTCAGGCTTCCTGCTGATGCTTCCTTTGATGCTTCTTAGTCAGTTCTCTGAAAGCAACAAAGGAGTTTAAGGTCACAATCCAGAGCATATTTTGTAATATTTGATTGCGATTAGATATGTACATGTGCTTGCGACAAAAACACATCTCGTCCATAGGTGAACAGTGTTCAAAATACCGTTGAGTGGCATTGCAGGTACTCACCGCTCACAAATGTACAAGTTGCTCAAGCCGATTTCGATATAGTAACGTCGTCACAACCAGCACCTTTTGATATTGTTTACATGGAACTCGATGGAAAGCAAATCGGTAGGTCACAGTTATAACAAATGACATTCGCAAGGGTTCCGTAATCGTGGCGTGAGGATGGTCCGGCAAAAACCGTGTGTTCAGTGAACCTCGACAACGAAGGTCGCATCTGACTCGCGCGGAGAGGTTGGGATTTTATAACAGGAGTCAGCTTTGAACAGACCAGTGGTAGTATTAGAAAAAACTGAGAACCGAGCACCGATAGCGAGCTGCAAAGTGCGTTGGAATCGCCTTTCTGCATTGCCGTTTGAAGCGTTAAACTTCAGAGCAAGATGGTTGCAGGAGAGTGGCATACAGGGGGAGGGGGATAGGCAAAAAATTCCCCTCTATAAGTACACGCAGGCCCTCCCTCACCGTCTTCAGAATATGACGTCATCTGTCACCGTCGTCGAGCTCAGGGAGGCCTACAGTAACTGCTTCAGCCTGAAGCTCTTACATAATTTCTTGGATCGATTCAACGTGGGATAGTTTCCTAGGGACATTAGCTCTAACTATGCAAACCCCTCGGAACCCGCCCTTCGGAACCCGTCGTAACGGTACACGATCAGTCGAGAACCCCATTGAGCTCGACCAGAGCACCATGTTTCCGGGGCAAATTTTCTGATGCCGTCCACGTAGATGGCCACTATGAAGATTTTCTTATGAAATGAAATGCGCTCTTCAATTCTAAGTTGGGAGCACACGCTTTGAGCTGAGCAAAGTGTGATTAAATCCATTTGAGTCTGGAGACAAAATGTCTTTT